GGAGTCTGGGGGGGAGTGAAGAGGGGGGGATATGAGCCCAGAAGGCAGGATTTGGCACGCCCGGGGTTGCTCCGCAGTAGAGAGACTGGAAGAAATTGGTGCATTCAGCGTTCATGACTCGTAGATCTGAGATGGTTTGTCCATCTGGTAGTATAAGCGAGGATATTAATGAGTCTTTGATGCGGGAGTTGAGTCCTGCCAGCAGGGAGGAGGTTCCCATCTCCCTATGGCCTTCGACTTTGAGCTTTGCTTTTAGAGCGAGCTCGGCGGTTTTGGATGCCTCGTATTTTGTTAGTTGAGTGCGGGCTTTGAGGAGCTGTGTGGTCGCATCATGGTCAAGAGGGGAGAGGGCAGATTGGAGCTGAAGGTGGCTGATGAGTTGTACTAGGTGGTTTGTAGTGCTTGTAACCCTTTTGCGCTCTTCGTTCGAGAAACTTTTGAGGCTAAGCGTGAGGGCCAGTTTCCAGGCGTCCCATGCATCGGCGGAAGGGCGTGATGGCAGGGAGGGGAGGTGAGATTCGATTATGGTAGCGACTTGGGGCCGGTGGAGAAGAGAGGAGCTGAAACGCCAAGGTCGCGGTGCCATGGTTGGGTTATCGAATATGAGGGTGCAGAGGGGTGCAAAGGAGTGGTCAGACACGTCAGTTGGGGTCCAGAAGTAGGAGGTTTCAGAGACCCGAGGGATGAATAAACTGGAGAGGTAGATTCGGTCCAGTCTGGAGGCCGGCGGGAGAGCAGTGCTAGCACTGGCCCGGCGGCCAAAGTAGGAAAAAACGGGGGCGGTAGGGTGGAGTGAGCGGTACACGTCGGACAGTGCGTGCGATAGCAGGAGATTAGACATCATGGTGGCTTCGCTGAGTTCGTGACCAAGTAGCGGACGGTTACGGTCTAAGGGGGAGGTTACCGAGTTGAAGTCACCTACGAGGATTGTGGCAGCAGCTGCGGTGGGTTGCTCCAGTGCGGGAGTTAGGATGGATCTCCACCAGATCCGGCGGTCAGTGGCAGGTCTCGGCGCATAGATAGCGAGGATGCGGAGTTGCTCCCGCAGGAAGTTGATATGTACGGATAGGAGGCGGCCATCGGCGGAAGGGGACGGGGAGGTGAGAGATATTGCTCTGTTGAAAGATAAGATGGAGATGCCGCCGGGTTGTGGACATGGATGACCGTTTGAATTCAGTGCGTAGAGGGTGGGTGCGTGTACCGAAGAGTGTGGCCGGAGTTGGAGTGACAGTTTAGGTAGGTTTTTGGAGAGGCGTGTGTCCACTAAAATGAGAATATCTGTGTGTGATGAGGAGGAGGAGAGCCAACGCTTTAGAGCATTTCGTTTAACCGGCGTGTTGATACCATTGATGTTGAGGCAGCGGACTCGTAGGGGCGTTAACATTCTACCAGGTGGGAGCCCACCGCGCAGGAGTGTGCGCGGATCCACGGGCGTGGGTGTTTTATACAGAAGGGTAGGAAGTTGGTGGAGGTTGTGGGTAACAGTCGAGCTGTCAACGAGTGCGAACTGAGGTTGGTGGTGGGTATGCTGGTATGTTGTTGGTGGATTGATTCGAACGGAAACAGAGGCGCACGAGAAGGTAGGCAGATATTGGGCGACAGAACCAGGGTGTAGAGGTGCCGCATACAGGTGAAGCTTGAGCAAGTGTGTGTTAAACTTAAGAGTGAGAAGTGAAGGGCTCCAGTTTTGAGTAGTAGCGGAGCTGATAGGTGGCGTGTTATCAATAATGCGTGAATGCGTCAAGGTGAAGCGTGGGATGAGTCTGCCTTTATGAGAGCAGTAAAAGTTGTATTCCTGGGTAGCGACAAGAAAGAGAGTACATCGGGGGTCGGGGGTGCTAGCGTTTTCACTGGTGGAGCATGTCAACCATGACGACGTATGAGAATAAGTAGCGAAGTAACGTGGGGCAGGCGGACGGGGGTCAGCAGGAACAGACGTGGTGGTAGGCGGACGAGGGGGGCTCTTTGGCGAGGCCATCTCGCCTCTTCTGTGTCCGTGCGAGGGTTGATTTCGGTCGGTAGGTGCGTCGACCGATTGAGAACCTCTGGCGGGAGGGGAGGCCACGATTACAGGGGGAGATTTTAAGGCAGGTGCAAGGAGATGTTGCGGCCGCTGACGGCGGTCGGGCGTACAGGTGGGGGCGTGTGTGATAAACAGGCGTGGATGCTCGCTCTGGTGATTCATGGTGAGAGTGAGCTTGACATGGCTGCGCGTTAGGCGAGTGTCAAGCGGGGTTGGGGTATTGGTGTTAGTGATTTGGGGGGTTAGGCGACTGCTTAGGTCGTTCATTGTTGGGCTTGGTTTGGACTGTTCACGGTGAGGCAACAATTGTGAGGGTGTGCGATCATGATGGTTGGTGTGAAGCACACGCGTGCGGGGGACGCAACTCCACCGGGCTGGCAGTGGCCTGAGGTGGCTGGCATGGCCTGTGCGCGAGGGGTGAAGGTTGGTAGAAGCGTGAGGTGGGTGAGGCAGGTGTGGGGTTGAGTAGTTGTTGGGGTGAGGGTTTAAAAATGGCGTATTTGGTATTTTGCGTGGATGTGAGAGTTGGAGTGAAGACTGACAGGGAAAAAGATAATACGTAGAGATTGACAAACATGATTGTGCGCACATTAGTTGCATATCCGAGGTCTAACTGGGTGCCTGCTAAATGACCAAGCCAAGGAACTAGCCACGCATCGAAGCTAAGGTGCGCAGGTCGTGACGCTAAGGGCGACCGCGAAGGAAGGCAGCCACCGGGGGCTTCTGCTGCAGCAGGGTGAGTGCGCGCCAGGGGCCAAATTCTTCCTTGGCAGCCGGGCGGTGAGCGGAGGCCTTCACGCGGGTGACGTGCAGGTCGGAGTGGATATGCTCCATGGCGCTGTCGAGGGCAGCGCCGCAGGCGAAGTCGCAGAGAGTGCAGGTCCAGTATTCGATCCAATCGCCCAGCCCAATGTAGAGGAGGCCGGGGTCGTTGCTGAAGGCGGTCGGCGCGGCATGATTGCCCAAAGAGTTGCCGCAAGAGAGGAGGCGGTTGGGGTGAGGCAGGGGGGGCAGGGGGGACGAGGGGTGGATGAGGGGCGGGTAGGGGGAGTCAGGGAGGAGGGGGACGTGGGGGTGAAGGCCGAGGGGGGGGAGACTATGTGGCCTGGTTGGCTGCGGGTGGAGGGAGGTGCAGGGAGGGGGGGGAGGCGCAGGGGAGGGGCGGGGGTGTTCGGGGGTCCAGGCGGGGGGGGAGAAGGAACCAGAGGGGGGTGGATTGGCCTGCGCAAAAGCAATGTGGGAGAGACCGGGGGGAGAGGGCTGTTGGCAGAGGGGGAGAGCCTCGGTGGGAGTCGGGCAGCCCGTCATAGCACAGGGGGCGGTTGCAGATGGGTCCCTGAATGTGTAGGGGGTGAAGAAAGTGAGGAGGGGGGTGAAAGGAGTGAGGGAGTGGGGGGGAGGCGAGATTGAGGGTAGGGGGGGGAGAGGAGGGAATCGGGGGAGAGGAGGTGTGGGGAAGTCGGGGGGTGGGGGGAGCAAAGAGGAGTGCTGGTTGAAAAAGGGGGGGATAGGGCAGGGGGGGGGGGCGTCTCCATGCTAGCATAGGGTTGGGCAGGGGGCCCGCCCTCTGGAGGGACCATGGGAGGAGTGTCGGGAGGGGGCAGAAAGGGGGGAACCGTGAGAGGGTCCAATCTGCTAGTGGGAGGAGGGTGCGGGTGGGGGCGAGCTTTTGGGAGGGCGGGGTACTGTCCTCAGAGGGGGAAGGGGCAGGAGTGTTGTGTGGGGGGGCGTTGACGTGGGAAGGGGCAGGGGGTGGGGGAACATGGGTGAAAAAGGGATTTCGCGATACGGAGATTGCGTGGGGGGAGTGGGGATATGGGGGGTTCGTGAGGATGGGCGGAGTCCCGACTGTAGGGGGGGAGAGGAGGGTACAGAGGTGACAGGGACTGAGCGTCCATGGGGGGGGGCTTGCCTGCATGTGTTGGGAAGAGCAGGGAGGGGGGGTGGCGTGGGGGGAAGAGGGGTTGAGTGGGAGCCCCACAACATGGAAGGCCGGGGGGTGGGGAGCTGTAAGGGAGGGGTGGGTGATGGAGGGGAAGTCAGGGTAAGGGGGGGCAGCTGGCACAGGGAGAGGGGTGAGAAGGGAGGGAACGAGGGGAGTGGGTAGGGGCAGAATGAAAGTAGGGGTGGCAGGGGCCCAGACGACCTTGCGGGGGGGGACAGCAAGGCAGTGGGGGGCGGGGGATCTTAGGGAGGGGAGGACAGCGGGGGGAGAGCGCGGGTGTTGGATGGGAGCAAGAAAGTTGCGTGATGGGGAGGTGGAAGACCGAGGGGGGAGTGGTGAGTGGATGGGGGGTAGCGGAGGAGCACATGAGAGGGCAACGGAGGCAGGCTAAGGGCGTGCAGTGACAACAAGAAGAGAGGATTGTTGCGGCTAAGACAAGAGGAGTAGATTTCGTACCATTTGCCTGCTGCAGCTGAGCAATTGAGATTGTGTTCTTGTTCGTGAGGCGTCCTCGGCGGCGGGCAGCGAAAGTCTCGTGGTCCGGTGCGCGGTGGTTGTTGCCGCACAGCGTGCACACGTGGCAGGAGAAGTTGAGCAGCATAGCTGGTTTGTTCTCCTCCAGCAGGATTTCGGACGGGATACGCTCGAAATTCGGGTCATCGGGGGTGGCGACCGGGAGCCCTGCGAGGTGGGTGAAAAAGGTGTTCTCGTAGGGATCGGAAGCGCGGTGAAATTCAATCAGGTCTGCGAGCATTGGCCTCTAGTTGGTAGTTCACCCCCAGTTTACGTTTAGGGTTATGAGTCACAACGACCTAGTTTGAAGCATTAGCGGGAGGTTTCGTGAGACAGAAGGGTGTTCGACGGTCGTTTCAGACTACATCGTTGTCCGCAACGTCACTCTTTGACCGTCTGTTTCACGTTGGCTGACCGTCTCTCGAACCGTCTGTTTTCGTGGAGCACATTGACCCCTTATCCGCTGATCTCGTTTAGGCTTAAGTTTAAAGAGCAAGTCGTTGTAACGCGACGCGCGATATGTCGCAAGCGCGGATATACGCGGACGTGAACGTGCAGCGGCCCAAGGAGTATTGGGACTACGAGGCGCTCACCGTGCAATGGGGGTACGTCCAGTATCTACCCCGTTTTGGGTGCAAACTTGTTCATATCCCTATTAATGAGAGTGTTGGGACCTCGAGACGCTCACCGTGCAGTGGGGGTACGTCACGGACTGCGCGATGCGAGTTGATTTGCCCGCCATTTTTGGTGCGGGGTCTATCACATCCCCGTCGTGTCCCATCTCACACTCCAATCCAGGTCTGCTTCTAGTGAGGCTTTTTAGAGTCGACGCGTTTTGAGACGTCTCAAAAGTCTCACACTCCAATCCAGGTCTGCTTCTAGTGAGGCTTTTTAGAGTCGACGCGCGCCCAGATGTCTTTAATTCATAATTCGCATCAGCCATTACCGTCCTCTGTTCCTTTTTCCATTTCCCTTTTCGTGTTTTTGTTTTTTTTTCACATGCCTACCACATGCGACAAACCAGCCAGACACGGGAAAAGTCGTTTAGAAACGCTACCCATTCGCACCCGTTTCTTTTGCTTCCCCTCTCCTGCTTCTTCGCCTCCCCCGCTTCTTCCCCCACCCGCTTCTTCCGCTTCTTCCGCCCCCGCTTCTTCTCGTCCCCGCTTCGTCCCTCCTCGGAGCTTCGAGCGACTAGCACGACCACGAGTTGGTGCGCAAGGTGGGGCGCTCCTCTGTCAAAGCCCCTTTTTCTGAACTTCCCTCAAACTCTCTTCTCTTCTCCCTCTGAACATGCAGAGACCAGCACGACTACGAGACGAGGTGGCGCGCGATGTGGGGCGGGGCAAGCTGATGGATATACGGTGCTCCTCGGTGTCCCCCCCCCCCCCCCCCCCCCCCCTGTCCCCGACCTTGTCCTCCCCATCTTCTTTCAATCCCTCCCTCCCTTCCCTTGAATCAAGCAGCGACCAGGACGACTACGAGGTGGTGCGCAAGGTGGGGCGGGGCAAGTACAGCTCGATGCACGGTGCTCCTCTGTTAATGCCCCCATGACCCCCTTCTCCCTCCCCTCTCCCCACTGGCAGAGACCAGGACGACTACGAGGTGGTGCGTAAGGTGGGGCGGGGCAAGTACAGCGAGGTGTTTGAGGGGGTCAACGCGGTCAACAGCGAGAAGTGCATCATCAAGATCCTCAAACCCGTCAAGAAGAAGAAGGTGAGAGGCCTGATGGGGTCAACGCGTCAAACAGGGGTCAACGCGGCCAACAGGGGTCAACGCGGTCAACAGCGAGCAGTGCATCATCAAGATCCTCAAACCCGTTAAAGAAGAAGAAGGTGAGCGCAAATCAATGAGGGGAACAAAGTCAACACGGTCAACAGGGTCATTAGTGAGTAGTTGGTGCATTTTCATGAGAAGTCTCATAAGATCCTCAAGCCAGTCAAGAAAAGGAGAAGGGCGAGAGGGAGTCTAGCTAGTCACTGTGGTCATTGCAGTCAACACGTTCAACAGCGAAATAAGATTCTACAGGCCCAAACCTAGCCTAACCTAGCCCAAACCTACGTCTTTGGTCTGTTCATGCCCTGCTCTCTCCCCTCTCCCTCCCCGCGGGAGATTAAAATTCTGCAGAACCTGTGTTGCGGTGCGGGCCAAACATCATCCGCCTGCTGGACATCATGCGCGACCCTTTTCCCCCTCCCTTCCTCCTGTATCCCTTGCCTTCCCCTCACAACCAGATGAAGAGGGAAATTACGATTCTTCAGAACAGAACCTGTGCGGCGGGCCCAACAGCATCCGCCTTCTGGACATCCCTTGCCCTCCCCCATCCCACACGCCCATGTCCTGTTATTTCCACCCTCTCCCACCTCTTCCCCACCAGATCAAGCAAGAAATCAAGATCCTTCAGAACCTGTTCGGCGGGCCCAACAGCATCTGCCTTTTGGACATCGTTCGCGACCCGCAGAGCAAGACACCGTCGCTGGTGTTTATGCCCCCCTCCCTGCACACCTATCCTATCCCCCATGTCCCCGCACTGCAACCGCCAACCACCAGCTCAAACGAGAACTCAACATTCTGCAGCCCCCCAACCAGCGTATTCTGTCCTTATACCCTGTTCTCTCTCTCTCCTACCCCCTCCGCCCCTCACCAGATCAAGCGGGAGATCAAGACCCTGCAGAACCTGTGTGGCGGGCCAAACATCATCCGCCTGCTGGACATCGTGCGCTGCACACCCCCTTACCCCCTCCCCTCCCTCCCTCACTGTATTGCTTTCCATCTCCACCAGATCAAGCGCGAGATCAAGATTCTGCAGAACCTGTGCGGGGGCCCCAACATCATCCGGCTGCTGGACATCGTGCGCGACCCGCAGAGCAAGACACCGTCGCTCATCTTTGAGTTTGTCAACAACACCGACTTCAAAGTGCTCTACCCCACACTCTCTGACTACGATATCCGCTACTACATCTATGAACTTCTCAAGGTATGTGCAGCCATGGGAGAGCATGTGGATGTGTGCATGTGGATGTGTGCATGTGGATGTGTGTGCATGTGGATGTGTGCATGTGGATGTGTGCATGTGGATGTGTGCATGTGGATGTGTGCATGTGGATGTGTGCATGTGGATGTGTGCATCATGCATGTGACTGTGCTCATGGGACTTCAAAGTGCTCTACCCCACGCTCCCCAATTACGATATCGCTACTACATCTACGAGCTGCTTAAGGTGCGTGTGTAGGGCTGTGGGCGTGTGACCATGTGATTGAGGGTGGGTGGGTGTGGGCATGGGGCTGTGTGCCTGTGTCTCAGCTGCTCGCTGCACTCCAAAATGCTCTATCTATTCCACGTTCTTTGTTTCCTACTACATCCTTTACTGCATCTACGAACTGCTCAAGGTGCGCTTGTGGGGCTGTGCCCATGTGCGTGTGACTGGTGTGTGGCTTTTGAGAATTCTCAAATGTGGCCATGTGCGTGTGACTGGTGTGTGGCTTTTGAGAATTCTCAAATGTGGCCATGTGCGTGTGACTGGTGTGTGGCTTTTGAGAATTCTCAAATGTGGCCATGTGTGTGTGACTGGTGTGTGGCTTTTGAGAATTCTCAAATGTGGCCATGTGCGTGTGACTGGTGTGTGGCTTTTGAGAATTCTCAAATGTGGCCATTTGCGCGTGACTGGTGTGTGGCTTTTGAGAATTCTCAAATGTGGCCATGTGCGTGTGACTGGTGTGGTGTGTGGCTCTGTTCTCGTGTCTCTGGTTGCTGCACTTCAATCAGTCTGCTCTATCCCACCACGTTCTCCGACTACGATATCCGCTACTACGTCTATGAACTGCGTAAGGTGCGTTGAATGGTGTGTGCGATGCGGTTGTGGGCGTGTGCCTGTGGGTGGGTTCATATTTCCTCGTGGCACTTGAGTCAATCTGCTCTACCCCGCGTCCGTGATATGGGTGTGTGCGATATTCGTGTGCCTGTGGGTGGGTTCATTGCCCAAGGTGTGTGTGTGTGTGTCTGTGTGATCATGTAGGTGGGGCATGTGATTGTGCGTGTCTGCCCGTTGGTTTGGGCCGGTGTGCAAGTGGCTGTACTCATTGCACCTCTGCTCTACCCCACGCTCTGCTCATGGTATCACGTGGCTTTCCGTTCCTCCTGTTCCCTTCCCATGCATGCCCCCTACAGGCACTAGACTTCTGCCACTCACAGGGCATCATGCATCGGGACGTGAAGCCACACAATGTGATGATCGACCACGAGCAGTGCAAGCAGATCACTGTCTCATGATGCTTCTCTCATCATGTGTCCTCGCTACTCCGCGTTCCCTGCCACAGGCTCTCGACTTCTGCCATTCACAGGGCATCATGCATCGGGACGTGAAGCCACACAACGTGATGATCGACCACGAGCAGAGGAAGCTGAGGCTCATTGACTGGGGTCTGGCGGAGTTCTACCACCCCAACAAGGAGTACAATGTGCGTGTCGCCTCCAGGTACGCTGTACCGCATTGCCTGCAGGAGTTGTGATGCATGATGCAGGTACTTCAAGGCTCCCGAGCTCCGCCTCTTACCCCATGACTTTTCTGCACCGCCACTGTGCTCTCAATGTCCCTGCAGGTACTTCAAGGGCCCCGAGCTGCTAGTAGACTTGCAGGACTACGACTACTCGCTGGACATGTGGAGCCTTGGGTGCATGTTCGCTGGCATGGTGAGCTTTGCCTTGGGGGCGTGGTGAGCCTTGCCTTGGGGGCGTGGTGAGCTGTGGGGTGGGGCCATGGTGGTGGTGCTGCGATGGCATGACTCACTTGTGGCAGGAAGAGCAAAGTACAACTCCCTGCACAAGGTGATTTTCCCTGGACATGCGGATTGCCTTGTGCAGGGAGTTGTACTTTGCCTCTTTCTGCCACAAGTGAGCCATCGCAGCAGCACCACCACCGTTGGCACTGCCTTGAACTGAACAGCTTCTCCACCGAGCCCCTTTTGAGGCGCCTCGCCATGACTATCCTCCTCTCCTCTGTTGTTTGTCGTGCTTGTGTTGAGCGTTTTCTTCTCTTCCTAGGGTTTGCCGCTGCACTTACTGCTGCCGCTTCCCACCCTCTCCATGCAGCTGATGGCTCTGCTGATGATCTGGTCCCAGTTTTCTTTCCATCTGACCTTGTCCAATCGCTTTAACACCCCCTTCCTCCGTTTGTGTTATCTGTTCCCGCACGGCTCTCCCGGTGCCCCCTGTCAGATGACTTTTGAGCTGGCTAAAAAATCACCTGCTTGCTCTGTTTGTCTCACTCACCGCACCCTCCCAATGCTGCCCATCCCTTGGCTCCCCCCATTCACTCCCCCGTGCCTTGCCCCATGCATGCATGCATGTATGGATCAGATATTCCGCAAGGAGCCTTTCTTCTACGGCCACGACAACTACGATCAGCTTGTCAAGATCGCCAAGGTGCGTGCAGAGAAGACCATGCCTGGGCTGATTGTGGGCGGGCTGTGGGCTGTTGGCTCTCCCCTGTGCGTGCGGGTGCGCGTCAGATATTCCGCAAGGAGCCCTTCTTCTTCGGCCATGACAACCACGACCAGCTCAGCTCGTCAAAATCGCCAAGGTGTGTAGCGTGCTGATCTGTGGCGTGCTGCTGTGTGGAATTGTGTGTGTACTCCCTGCAACCCCACTTCCTATCATCCCTCTGCCCCACTCATATCATATCAGGTGCTGGGAACGGATGAGCTGAACAGCTATCTGGGCAAGTACAGCATCATGCTGGACCCGCATCTCTACTCTGCTCAACCTTGCTGTTGTCATCATGCTGTATTGTATGCCACACCTCCCATCACCCCACTCTCAGGTGTTGGGAACGGACGAGTTGAACAGCTATCTGGGCAAGTACAGCATCATGCTGGACCCGCATCTGGAGGCGCTGGTGGGGAGGCACAGCCGCAAGCCGTGGTCCAAGTTCGTTAACAGCGACAACCAGCACCTTGTGTCCCCTGAGGTATGATGTTTGGGGTGTTTGGGATGCTTGGTTGGGGTGTTTGGGGTGAGTTTGAGGCGTCCCAAAGCTGATGGGGAGGCACAACCGCAAGCCGTGGTCCAATTTTGTCAACAGCGACAACCAGCACCTTGTGTCCCCTTAGGTATGATGTTTGGGGTGTTTCGGATGTTTGGGTGTTTAGTGTGTTTGGTGGGATGGGTATTAAGATGTCTCGAAGCACAGCCGCAAGCCCTGGTCCAAGTTTGTCAACAGCGACAACCAGCACCTTGTCTCTCTTGAGGTATGAGTTTGGGACTCTTATGTAGATCAACTAGCACCTTGCCTGTGTAACTGCCCACCATCCCCTGCCTTTTTCTTTCCCACCCCCCCGACCACCCTTGCCATTTCCCCATCCCCCTTTGCTGTCTCCTTCATCTTCACCCGCCTCTCTTTCCTCTGCCCATTGCCGCCCGTTGCCGCCCATTCCCTGCAACACCTGGTGGGCAGGCGGTGGACTTTCTGGACAAGCTGCTGCGGTACGACCACCAGGACCGGCTCACAGCGAGGGAAGCCATGGTGAGTTGTGGAAGGGGAGGGCGCATGGTGGTGTAGGCGGAAGGGGTATGCCGGTGGTGGTGTTGTGACGTTAATGTGGCAGCCTGACGGTGGACTTTCTGGACAAGTTGCTGCGGTACGACCACCAGGACCGACTCACAGCCAGAGAGACCATGGTGGGTGGTGCAAGGGGGTTGATACATGGTTGATAAGGACTTGACAAGGGGTTGTTAAAGCTGGGCTGTTGAGTTCTGGACAAGCTGCTGCGGTACGACCACCAGGACCGACTCACAGCCAGAGAGGCCATGGTGAGTTGTGCAAGGGGGTTGATACATGGTTGAAAAGGACTTGACAAGGGGTTGTTAAAGCTGGGCTGTTGAGTTCTGGACAAGCTGCTGCGGTACGACCACCAGGACCGACTCACAGCCAGAGAGGCCATGGTGAGTTGTGCAAGGGGGTTGATACATGGTTGAAAAGGACTTGACAAGGGGTTGTTAAAGCTGGGCTGTTGAGTTCTGGACAAGCTGCTGCGGTACGACCACCAGGACCGACTCACAGCCAGAGAGGCCATGGTGAGTTGTGCAAGGGGGTTGATACATGGTTGAAATGGACTTGACAAGGGTTGTTAAAGCTGGGCTGTTGAGTTCTGGACAAGCTGCTGCGGTACGACCACCAGGACTGACGCACAGCCAGAGAGGCCATGGTGAGTTGTGCAAGGGGGTTGATACATGGTTGAAAAGGACTTGACAAGGGGCTGTTAAAGCTGGGCTGTTGAGTTCTGGACAAGCTGCTGCGGTACGACTAAGCCTGTACAAACGAATACGAATGTTTTTCCTGTATATTCTCTGAATACCGGGTGGTTTCTTATTTGGCCGAATACTGGCCCAAAACCGAATACGAATACGATTCGAATACTGCCGAATCCGAATCGAATACGAATAAGTGCCGAGAAAAAAAAATATATATATATATACATATATATATATATCTATGTATATAAATATATTTTGTATAGCCAGGGTGTATATTTTGTATATTTTGTATTTTCGAACGGCTAATGCATGGTTGACACAGGGTGATACAATGCACTTTATAATATCAACATCACGACTCAATCCCGCACCATGAACTTCCCTAATCACGCTCCAGCAACTATCTTGCTAGGCTTTTGAGCGCGGTTCTTATGAGGCCTCTTGTAGACAGATTGCCAAAGATGATAGCCGCATGTGGGGAAGGAGGGGAAAGTGGGGGAAGGGTGTTAATGGTAGAATACCGAATAGGAACGAATACCCCGAATATCCGTTAGCTGAATATTCTACATCCACAAATACTCGTGATGCGAATATTTTGAAATACACGGCCATTTCTTATTCTCTCGAATTCAGGTATTCGAACGAATATCGAATAATTCTCGAATACCGAATATTCTTGCACAGGCTCAGGTACGACCACCAGGACCGACTCACAGCCAGAGAGGCCATGCTGAGTGAGTGGTGCGCATGGGGTTGAGAAGGGGTTTGTAAGGTACTGATAATGAAGGGCTGTAGACTTTCCGAACAAGCTGCTGCGGTACGACCACCAGCTTCGACTCACAGCGAGAGAGGCGATGGTGAGTGGTGCTCAGTCTTGAGGCGCCTCAAAAGAGAGGCCATGGTGGGTGGTGCTCAGACATACATCACGGCGGTTGGTGTGAGGGGCTGTTGAGGGCTTGATGGAGGATTGGTGAGGAAGTGATGAGGGGTTGGATAAGGCTAAGCTGTTGGGTTCTGACAAGCTTCTGCGGTACGACCACCAGGACCGGCTCATGGCGAGAGAGGCCACGGTGTGGTGCAAGGGGGTCATGATGGTGTTGGCAGAAGGGGTTTTCCGCCGTTGGTGGTGGTGTGACAATGATGTGCCTGGGGGTTTGAGTCCTGAACAAGCTGCTGCGGTACAACCACCAGGACCAACTCACAGCGAGGGAGGCCATGGTAAGTAGATTATGGGGATCATGGTGGTGTTGGCGGAAGGGGTTTGGTGGCGATGGTGGTATGGCGTTGATGCGATGTGCCTGCTTGGGCTGTTGAGCTGCTGCAGTACCACCACTGGGACAGGCTGGCATCCAGAGAGGCCATGGTGGGTGGAATAAAGGGGTCATGGTGGGTGGAATACGGTAAAGGGGTCATGGTGGGTGGAATAAAGGGGTCATGGTGGGTGGAATACGGTAAAGGGGTCATGGTGGGTGGAATAAAGGGGTCATGGTGGTGTTGGCAGAAGGGGATTGATGGTGGTGCTGTTGTGTTGTGACATTGATGTTGCCTGGCTGGGCTGTTGAGCTGTTGCGGTATGACCACAGGACTGGCTCACAGCAATGGATGGGTGGTTCTGAGTCATTCAATGGGTCTAGTAGTGAAGGGGGTGGATAGGGGGTGGATAAGGCTGGGCTGTTGAGCTTCTGAATGTGTGTAGTGGCCAGGTGGGTGGTGTAGAAGCTATGTTAAGTTGCGTAGAGAGGCTAGAGTGGTCACTCTTCGTCTGATTTTTTCCCTTAAACCCTTTTTAAATTTCTCTATCAGAAGCACCTAATGTTTCTGTGTCGCCTCGTTTCCATTCCCTCTTTGTCTCTGGTGTCCTTGTGCAGGCGCATCCGTATTTCTACCCTGTGCGGCAACAGGAGGCACAGGCAGGCAGGCATAACTAGTGGCCCGTTGCACGGGGTTGCCCACAGCTGGCATGATGCCATGCCATTATTGTTTGATAATATTTGTCAAAGAACCATTATACGGTCACTGGGTTTGTTATTGTTTTCCTAGAGGGTTTTAGACGCATATTTCTCGTCTTGAACGAGGCGTAACTCTTGTCGCACTCATCTGGCGGGTGATGCATGCACCGCGCCAAGGTTCACGCGCCTCTAGCCCGCACACACATTTGTCCTGCGCCCGCGTATCCGCTCACACCTCGATTTTGCCGCACCAGCCCGTTGGCGCAGCCGTAAACTGCTGTGGGCTGTTGGGGGGAAAATGGCTGAACTCCGCGCGCAAGTGCTGCATCCGCTCCGCATCCCCATTTCCTTGTGCCGCGCCCCCCTCCTGCTTCCTCCCTGCCGCCCACTCCCCTCCTCTCCCCCTTCCAACTCCACCCCCCAGCTTCCTAGCTATTGCCGACCTTCTAGATTCTCCCACACCCTACCCTCGCGTAGTTTTATCAATTCGTGTTTACAACACAAATCGCCGTCACTCGCAAGCTAGTTATGGCTGCTCCCGCCGCCTCCTTGAGCGCCTCGCAGCATCTTTGCCGCCTCAACGTCGCCCTTCCGGCTGCGGTAGCCCGCGGTAGCGTGCGCGAGCTTATAGCTGCGCCTGCGCGCGCCGGGAAGGGGCTGAAGGCGAGTGCGCGTGGAAACGATAGGCGAAAGGCAGCAGCAGCAGGAAGGAGTGCGCGACTGGGGTGCCGCGCGATGGCGAGCGAGGTGAGCGACGGCTGGCGGCGATGAATATCCCGTGCGGGGGAAGCGCTTGGGACGATGCACATAGGCGATTTCCAGTTACCAACCATCTTGCCATACATGAATTTCGTCTCACAGTTTTCTCGTTTTCCTCGCTCCGCGCCCTCCCCGCTCTCCCCGCTCTCCCGGTTCTCCCCGCTCTCCCTGCGCTCAATGCGCCTCCCGCGTTCTCCGCGCTCTCCGCCCTCCCCGCTGTCCCCCGATTCCCGAGCTTTTCCGCGCTCCCCACGCTCTCCGCGCTCCCCACGCTTTCCGCGCCCTCTTCTTTCCGCTGCGCGTTTCCTTTCCCCCAGGGTGGTTCCGCCACTGCCGTTTCGGCGCCATCTGCGGTCACGCAACTTCCCGACCTCATGGTATGACGTGGCATGCGTGACGTGTCATGAGCAAAGAATAAGAGACCATTCCAACAATGTTGTGTACACGCATGAACTTCTTCGTACGACCCTTATAAGCACTCTCTGTAAAATCGAGCCCTCTCCCAGCGTAAAGTAAAGAAAAAAAATGAATGTTTCTGTCGATTTCTGGTGAACCGGACCTGCCAGAACTGCGTCAAGAACGTTGTGCCCCATATGTCGTCCGTGTTGTCCCGATGTTGTGCCTAGTGCTCACTCACACGCACGCACTCTCCTCCTGCCCCTGTCTCTCCTCACAGACGGAGTGCATGGTGGTGGACATGTCCTGCCAGAGCTGCGCCAAGAACATTGGGCTCTCCATGCCCCCCCTCCTTCCTCCCCCCTCCTTCCTCCCCCCTCCTTCCTCCCCCCTCCTTCCTCCCCCCTCCTTCCTCCCCCCTCCTTCCTCCCCCCTCCTTCCTCCCCCCTCCTTCCTCCCCCCCCCTTCCTCCCCCCCCCTTCCTCCCCCCCCCTTCCTCCCCCCCCCTTCCTCCCCCCCCCTTCCTCCCCCCCCCTTCCTCCCCCCCCCTTCCTCCCCCCCCCTTCCTCCCCCCCCTTCCTCCCCCCCCCTTCCTCCCCCCCCCTTCCTCCCCCCCCCTTCCTCCCCCCCCCTTCCTCCCCCCCCCTTCCTCCCCCCCCCTTCCTCCCCCCCCCTTCCTCCCCCCCCCTTCCTCCCCCTTCCTCCCCCCCTTCCCCCCCCTTCCTCCCCCCTTCCCCCCCCCTCCCCCCCTTCCTCCCCCCCCTTCCTCCCCCCCCTTCCCCTCCTTCCTCCCCCCCGTCTGTCATCTCCAGGCCGGGTTTACGGTGGACATGAGCTGCGCCAAGAACAGTGTGCTCTCCATACCCTTTCCTCCCCTCAACTCAATCCCCCATGCTGCCGCCCCTCCTTGCCCGCCTGGTCGTGTGCATCAGACCGAGTTCATGGTGGACATGTCGTGCCAGAGCTGCGTCAAGAGCGAACGCTGTGCTCCCCATGCCCTTCCTCCCCGCCTCATCCCCCTTTCCCTCCTCCCCCTTGCTTGCCTCTCCCCGCAGACCGAGTTCATGGTGGACATGTCGTGCCAGAGCTGCGTCAAGAGCGAACGCTGTGCTCCCCATGCCCTTCCTCCCCGCCTCATCCCCCTTTCCCTCCTCCCCCTTGCTTGCCTCTCCCCGCAGACCGAGTTCATGGTGGACATGTCGTGCCAGAGCTGCGTCAAGAGCGAACGCTGTGCTCCCCATGCCCTTCCTCCCCGCCTCATCCCCCTTTCCCTCCTCCCCCTTGCTTGCCTCTTCCCGCAGACCGAGTTCATGGTGGACATGTCGTGCCAGAGCTGCGTCAAGAGCGAACGCTGTGCTCCCCATGCCCTTCCTCCCCGCCTCATCCCCCTTTCCCTCCTCCCCCTTGCTTGCCTCTCCCCGCAGACCGAGTTCATGGTGGACATGTCGTGCCAGAGCTGCGTCAAGAACGTGCGCCAGAAGCTGGAGCCTCTGGAAGGTGGGTTGGAGCGGTTGAAAGGTGGGTTGGAGCGGTTGAGAGGTGGGTTGGAGGGATTGGATGGGAGATGGGCTGGAAAGGAAACATGAGCTGGCGGATGCGTCAAATTTGCTCTTGTGCTGTGCACGTGCGATGATTGCTACGCTGCGTACCTTGATGGCCGTTTCTTGTCATTTTCGTTGAAAAGGCACTCGTGAACACAAAACACGCCTTCTTTCCCTTCCGAGTCATTTCACACGCGGGTCCCTCCTCATTCTCACCACCCCTTTTTTCCTTGTCTAACCAGGTGTGTGATGTGAAGGCAGTGGACGGACATCAGTCTGGAATCGCAGGTGGTGAATGTGTTGGGCTGGCCGTGGCATGGCCCCAGACAGCTGAAGTGATCACAACTCATTGTCCCCTCCCGTTACCCACCCCCTCTCCATGTCTCACCAGGCGGCAAGGCAGTGGAGATTAGATTGGAGTCGCACGTGGTGCGCGTGTTAGGGAGTGCCACGCTGCTCCGTCCTCCCCCTTCGTTTCCCTACTTCCCTCTCTCCCTCTCTCTCCATCTCCCACCAGGTGTCAAGTTGGTAGACATTAATCTGGAGTCGCAGGTGGTGCGCGTGTTGGGGAGTGCCACGCTGGCCCAGCTAGAGGAGGCACTGAAGAAAAGCGGCCGCAAGGCGCGGCTGATTGGCCAGGGCGACCCCTCTCGTGAGCGATTGTAGAGGGCATGTGTGTGCATTAGTGTGGATGGATAGCTATTGGGCGAGTGATTCTCTCTGGGCCATACTGTTGGGAGTGCCACGCTGGCCCAGCTAGAGGAGGCACTGAAGAAGAGCGGCCGCAAGGCCCGTCTGATCGGGCAGGGTGACCCCTCTCGTGAGTCAATACAGAGGCATAATTGCTTAAGGGCTTAGGGGTGTAGGTGTGGTGTGGAGGTGTGGAGAGCTGTTGCGCGAGTGAGATCTCACGGGGCCACGCCGACGTCGTTGGTGGTGGAGGAGGAGTGCCGCGCTGGTCCAGACTCCAGACCAGACCAGCTGGAGGGGGCACTGAAGAAAAGCGGCAGGAAGGCTCGGTTCATCGGCCAGGGGGATGGGGTGGGATCCTTCTCGTGAGTGATTGCAAAGGGCATGTGGAAACGTGGAGAGCTGTCGTGTGAGCGATTTCTCACGGAGTCATGTCGTTGGGGAGTGCCACGCTGGTCCAGCTGGAGGAGGAACTGAAGAGGAGCGGCCGCAAGGCACGGCTCATCGGGCAGGGTGACCCGTCTCGTGAGTGAAGCAGGTTCTATCGGAGTCACTTTTGAGCTTACAGGAAAGTGAGTCCTGGTGAGTCAAAGACACGCTGGCTGGCGCAGCTGGAGGAGGGTTTGAAGACCGCAAGGCCCGGCTGATTGGCTCAGCAGTGACACTCAATCTGATTCTCCTCGTTCACCGTACCTGCTCCCGTTCCATCTTGGACCTCTCTTGGATCGCCTGAAAAGTCGTTTCATCTTGGAACCTCTCTCTGCTGTGCAACCACCATGTCTGTACCACCATGTCTGTACCACCATGTCTGTACCACCATGTATGTACCACCTCCCACTCCCTCATCCAGGTCTCCCCTCACACCATCTCTTCCTTCCTCTCTTCCTCCCTTACCATCTTCCTCCTTCCCTTCCTCGCTTTTCTTCTTACTTCCTATCCAGAGCTGGCCCTAACAGCAGCAGTGGCAGAATTCAAGGGGCCGGTGATCCACGGTGTAGTGCGGTTCGCCCAGGTAAGACGGATTCCGTCCTCCAGACCAGTTGGCTGGGTTGACTTGACTTGACACCGCTAGGCTAGGTGACTTGTGTTTCTTGTTCAGACTCAAATATGGAAAAATGTACAAGTGTTTCAAGATCAGACCCACATAAACCTGTTTCTCTTCAGAAGCCCAGACCTGCTCCACCCCACCCCACCGCACACCACACCACCCCACCTCACCCCACTCCTCTCAGCATGTGAGCATGCTGAATCTATGTCGTACACGTGTAACACTGCCACTCTTCCCCTTTCCCGCCTCCCGCTCCCCCTCCCCCCCTCCTCCCACCAGGTGAGCATGGAGGAGGTGCGGGTGGAAGCACAGTTCGATGGCCTCTCGCCCTCCACCGCCCATGCATGGGCCGTCAACGAGTATGGGGACCTCACCCGTGGCGCTGACAGCACCGGCAGGTGCTACCCAGGGGAGGCGTCATCTGCTGCTGCTGCTGATGGGGTACGTACATGCAGCAGACCAGGTGCCAGTGGGATTCTGCTTGTTGTTGAGGACCTCACCTGCGGACTTGAGAGCACTGGTAGGTGCTACTCGGGGGAGGCGTCATCTGCTGCTATTGCTGATGAGGTACGTGCAGCAAGAACACAGGTTGCTCAGCTCGCTGTTGGGAATCTCATCTGTAGACTTGAGGGCACCGGCAGGTGCTACCCGGGGGAGGTGGCATCTGCCACTGATGGGGTACGTACGTGCAGCAGGAGCAGGTAGCTAGTTGTTGGGGATCTTGCCCGTGGACCTGAGAGCACCGGCAGCAGCTACCCGGGGGAGGCGTCTTCTGCTGATGCTGCTGCTGCTGCTGCTGCTGCTGCTAATGGGATGTGTTTAGAGTGCGGCTGGAATGTTCAGTTTGCTGCCCAGCTGCTGCCCCCTCCCCTTGGTTCCTCAGTCGACTGGAAAAATCTGCCAGCTGCTGGATGTGTGTTGGAGCAACTCGCATTCGAGCCTGCCTGCAACAAACTTACTGATGCAATGCACACAGTTTTCGTGGGTGTGCTTGACATGGATGACGAGGATCATGCCTCTCTCATCTCATCTCATCTCATCTCATCTCATCTCATCTCATCTCATCTCATCTCATTCCCTGGTCTCCGCTCCCTCCCCTTCCTCCTTTCCCTTCTCAGCCCGCAGGCGATCTGGGAGTGCTACAGGTGGATGACAAGGGCCATGCCTCGTATGCAGCGCCCAGCACGCGCCTCAAGGTGTGGGACCTCATCGGCCGGGCCGTGGCGGTGTATGAAGGGGCCGACAGGAGCAGCAGCGGCGTGGCAGCAGCGGTGATTGCGCGCAGTGCAGGTGTGGGGCAGAACCACAAGTCGCTGTGCTCGTGCGATGGCACCATCATCTGGGAGGCCACTCCTAGTGACTATGTGCAGCAGAAGTAGGTATAGATGTGGATGTGGTGTGGGTGGAGGGAAGGGCCGTGGCAGCAGCGGTGATTGCGCGCAGTGCAGGTGTGGGGCAGAACTACAAATCGCTGTGCACCTGTGATGGCACCACCATTTGGGAGGCCACTCCGAGTGATTATGTGCAGCAGAAGTAGGGTTGGTGCTAGTGAGAGGGGGCAGGGCGGGTGTGTGGGACCACCTGACCTGACCTGAAAGGGTCAGACGGGTACCGGTGTAATGACAGGTGTGGGGCAGAACTACAAGTCGCTGTGCTCCTGTGTGGGAATGATCATTTGGGAGGCCACTCCCAGCGATTACGTGCAGTGATTTTTTAGAAACTCAAAATTAGGTGGGAATTTTGTTGCATAGTGGGTAGGTAGCAACTACTCCTTGCTGGGGGGGGGGGGGGGGGGGGGGAGGGGGGGGGACTCTCCTTGTGGGCACTGTATGGGATTGACTACCATGCATGCAATAGCTCCATACTCCACAATTCTGTAGCAGATGTGCAGAAACGATCATCGTGCACCATCAGAACAATTATGGAGAGCGGCTTCACCTTCAAAACAGTGAGGCTTTAATTCATTTGCACCTTGGCTGCTAAGGAAAACAGTTCACATGCAAGTCTTATTTTCAATCATTGTCATAACTTGTCAGATGAGCCTACCCCGCTCCCACCTTCCCCATCTCTCCCCCCCATGAGTGGCGATTCCTCTTCCCTTATCCCGCTACCGCCCCCCCCAGACAGTCTGTTCTTTATCACTCTGAACAAGGAACCAGAGGAGGGGCTAATGAGGTCCCTAGAAGGCGGGGTGATGGCAACTCCCAGCTTCTCCTGATCCTTGCCCCCGCTCGCACCACCACTCATTTCTATCCCCCCATAGGAGGAATGGGAAAGGGTAGAAGCTGAGGTGGGGGTAGTGTTGCTGCCAGGGTTTGTTGTGGCCAGAAGGTTACTGCTGCTGCTGCTGCTGCTGCTGTTGCTGCTGGTTCCGATGGTGCTACTGCTGGTGGCGGAAGCTGATTGGCTGGCTGCTGCTGCTCTGGTAACCGCGTACCAGCTCTTGTAGTAGAGAGCACCAAACACCACCACCTGGTGAAGGGTGGCGAAAGGGGGGAGTGGAATGGGCAGATTGGGGACGTCTCGAAACCGCTGCTGCTCTGGTTACCGCATGCCAGCTCTTGGAGTAGAGAGCACCGAATACCACCACATGGTGGAGGGGTGGGGGGGTGGAGAGGTGGGGAGGTGGGGGGGTGGAGAGGTGGAGAGGTGGGGAGCAGAATGGGCAGATGAAGGGCTGAGGATTCTAACGATCTTGTTTGTAGTAGGGAGCACCTAATACCACCACATGGTGGAAGGGGTTGGGGGTAAGGGAGTGGAGTGGACAGATACAGGCGTTATTGAGGATTCTCACGAACTTGTTGGTAGTAGAGAGCACCTAAGAGCACCTTCTAATAAAGGGGTGTGTGTGGGAATGCATGGCAAATGCAGAGTGCATATGAAGAGAAAACTGCGAAGGCACTTTTGTAGTAGAGAGCACCGAACACCACCACCCAGTGAAGGGCAGTGGGGAGGGAGAGTGAGTGCATTGGCAGATGGGGGGTGTATTTGAGAATTTTGATTCACATGCTTGTAGTAGAGTGCACTGACAGACCACCTTGTGAAAAGGTGGTGCAGTGGGGAGTGCAGTGCAGTGGTGGGAGAACAGGGAGCAGTGGCTGAGGGCAGAGGGAAGAGAGGAAGATTGAGAAGCCGGTGGAGGGGGCGGCAGGGGTAAAAGTGGAGATTTTGCGAGGATGAGGATTCTGCACCATGCAAGTGGGGGGGTTGCTTGCGAGGATGAGGATTCAGAACCATGGTTTCTCTCTCAGTAAGGGGCTAGCTGGTGGTTGAGACGAATGGGTAACTGATGAGATATGGTGGTGACAGAGCAAGTCTTGGGATGAGGGGTGAGCACTTACTGTGCCGACTTGTTGTGTGGAGGAGAGGGGCGGTCCATAGATGGTTGATGATAGTACGATACTGAGAAGCTGGTAACAAGGGATGGGCGGACAGAAAATTAGGACCGTGGAATGATTAGGTTAGGAGTATAAGGCTTGAGACGCACAGAAAGGTATGATAGAGTCATCTTATTTTCCGCATGTCAAGACTTGCACAGAGGGAAACATGTTGATCATGGGGGTGGCATGGGATGGTTAACTTGGGCGTGGTGGAGACGATGAAAACGGAAGGGCAATGGAGCATGGAGCAAGCACATGTGCACTGCACATGTACACAGATGCACAGATGCACAGACACACAGATGCACAGATGCACAGATGCGCAGATGCACAGATGCACGGATGCACAGATGCACAGATGCACGGATGCGCAGATGCAGACACACAACCTGCAGACTGCAAATACCCAACATGCGCACCGACGCACACACTACACACGCACAACAAGCACACAACACGCGTGCAGAGAGCACACACTTGGTGCGTGGTCATGATGGTGCACACATGCACAAACACACACCCGCGTACAATCTGCAGACAGCAAGTGCACACCAACTAACAGACTCGCCGCACACAACAAGCATACAACACAGCATACTACACACATGCACACATGGACACACCTGGCGAGTGGTCATGATGGTGGCGAAGGTGAGAGCACCAAACGTCTTGATGGTGTAGGAGATGAAGAACTGGCTTATAGTGGCCGCCTGGTGGGGTGGTGGGAAAAGTGAAGCGGAGGTGGGGAGAGTTGAAGGGGGGCTCTGGAAGGGAGATTCCGCTGTTATCTTGATGGAGTGTGTCATAGAGGATGGGAGAGTGTGACAAGGGAGAGGGGAGGAGCGAGCGGGTGGTGTGTTGATGGAGTGTGTATGAGAATTGAGATGAGAGACTGGGTTATGGTCGCCGTCTAGGGGGTAGCAGCGAAGGTAATAACAGGGTTCAAGCGTACCAGTGGGAAACAAACCGACTGGCGACGCACGACAGGTCCTGAATCAACAACGGGAGCCGTACCCCTGTTTGTAAGGAATGCAAGGCGTACCATATCACAGAAGCACCAATCACAAAGAACCAACGTAAGGCGTACCACAGAGAGCACTGCGATGTGGACGGCACAGTCGGGATGGCGCATGATGAATGCAATGGCCGCTGATAGGTCCTGACGCAGGCCTGGTAGGGGGTGAGTGGGAGGGCATGGCGTATGGCAAGGCAACACAACATGATGACATAGCAGCACAACAAGATGCCACAGCAGGATTAGTGCGATGGCCACTGCTAGGTCCTGGCGCAGGCCTGGTGGGGGTGAGAGAGGGAGAGCGGTGAGCAGGAGGAGGATGAGACATATGACGATAAAGCATGAAAGCAAAACAGCATAATACGATGACATCTGAAAGAACGAATGATGGATGCAATGGTGCTGCTAAGTCCTGGTGCGGGGCAGGCCTGCTGCGGGGCAGGCCTGGTGCGGGGCAGGCGGGTATGAAAGGCAATAAAAAAATGATGACATTAGATTGAAGCATGATGCCAGAACAAAAAATCTCGGTGTCACGAGCCCCTGACAGTGATGAACGCTGCATCTGGGTCAGAAGGCAGGTGCTTACCCAGAAGGCTGATGACTGGCGACGAGCAGAGCGTGATGTAGAGCACCTGGTTGGCTGCTTGATAGCACATGGGTTGCTGCAATCACAGCCTACTACCTACCCTGTGGTTATCGCACTTACCCAGGAGGCTGATGACGGAGGAGCAGAGTGTGATGTAGAGCACCTGGTTGGCTGCCGGCATGTCATAGCCCTCAAACAGCTTGTCCTGAAACGTGTTGGTGAAGCCGTCAAAGCTGCGAGGAGAAGGGGGGAGGGATGAGGATGAGGGGACAGGTGGAGAGGGACGAGGAGAGAGAGGGACACAAGGAGAGAGGGAGAGAGGGAGCATGTCATAGCCCTCAAACAGCTTGTCCTGAAGCGCGTTGGTGAAGCCGTCAAAGCTGGAGGGTAGGATGAGCATGAGATGACGACGGGCGGACAGGTGGAAGGGGAACAATGAGAGGGACAAGGAGATAGGGAGAGGGGTTGGCACGTCATAGCCCTCAAACAGCTTGTCCTGAAACGCTTTGGTGAAACCATCGAAGTTGCGAGGGTGGGTTGAGCATGAGATGATGATGGGATGGGAGGACAGGCGGAGAGAGACAAGGAGAGGGACACAGAGAGAGGGACACAGAGAGAGGGACAGAGAGAGAGGGACACACAGAGAGAGGGACACAGAGAGAGGGACAGAGAGAGAGGGACACAGGGAGAGGGACACAGAGAGAGGGACACAGAGAGAGGGACACAGGGAGATGGACACAGAGAAAGGGACACAGAGAGAGGGACACAGAGAGAGGGACACAGAGAGAGGGACACAGAGAGAGGGACACAGGGAGAGGGACACAGAGAGAGGGACACAGAGAGAGGGACACAGAGAGAGGGACACAGAGAGAGGGACACAGAGAGAGGGACACAGAGAGAGGGACACAGGGAGAGGGACACAGAGAGAGGGACACAGAGAGAGGGACACAGAGAGATGGACACAGAGAGATGGACACAGAGAAAGGGACACAGAGAGAGGGACACAGAGAGAGGGACACAGAAAGAGGGACACAGAGAGAGGGACACAGAGAGAGGGACACAGGGAGAGGGACACAGAGAGAGGGACACAGAGAGAGGGACACAGAGAGAGGGACACAGAGAGAGGGACACAGAGAGAGGGACACAGAGAGATGGACACAGAGAGATGGACACAGAGAAAGGGACACAGAGAGAGGGACACAGAGAGAGGGACACAGAGAGAGGGACACAGAGAGAGGGACACAGAGAGAGGGACACAGGGAGAGGGACACAGAGAGAGGGACACAGAGAGAGGGACACAGGGAGAGGGACACAGAGAGAGGGACACAGAGAGAGGGACACAGAGAGAGGGACACAGAGAGAGGGACACAGAGAGAGGGACAGAGAGAGAGGGACACAGAGAGAGGGACACAGAGAGAGGGACACAGAGAGATGGACACAGAGAGAGGGACACAGAGAGAGGGACACAGAGAGAGGGACACAGAGAGAGGGACACAGAGAAAGGGACACAGAGAGAGGGACACAGAGAGAGGGACACAGAGAGAGGGACACAGAGAGAGGGACACAGAGAGAGGGACACAGGGAGAGGGACACAGAGAGAGGGACACAGAGAGAGGGACACAGGGAGAGGGACACAGAGAGAGGGACACAGAGAGAGGGGAGGGGGGGCCATGTCATAGCCATCAAACAGCTTGTCCTAAGGTGTTGGTGAAGCCTGTCAAAGCTGGGAGGGTGGGATGGAGGGATAGGTGGAGAGGACAGACGGAGAGGAGGAGGGAAAAGGGGCATGGCAGAGCCATCTAGATGATTTCCTTTATAATGAGTTGGTTAACAGCAAAACTGATTGCGGGATTCGCAAGGCACGCAAAGATGGATGAGAGGAAACGAAAGGGAGCGGGGGGAGTGGGGAAATGACGTATAGAGGTATGCCATGCCACACATGCTCTGCCTTACCCAAGACATCCCACTCATGCAACTCCTTACCCCAGGTATCCGAGCATGAGCAGGAGGCCAGAAAACGTGCTCTTGACACTCGTGCGTGCAGTCTTGACACCTTAACCCAGCCCGGGGCATTGCACGCCAGGGATGGAGCCGAGACAAGTCACGCGCGCGCACAGAATGCCGTATCGGAGACAAGAGTGGGAAGTGGTTTGAAGGGGGGAAGAAAAGGGGGTGGATGCGGCAGATGGGGTGTAGGGACGAAGGGAAGGAGGAAGGGAGAGCAGGGAAACGGACGGGAAGGGAAGAAGGAAGGGTCACACGCTGAGGAGGGCTGCATGAAATTCTCTTGACAACAAGCAATGACGAGACAACAAGCAATGACGAGACAACAAGCAATGACGAGACAACAAGCAATGACGAGACAACAAGCAATGACGAGACAACAAGCAATGACGAGACAACAAGCAATGACGAGACAACAAGCAATGACGAGACAACACTGATTTATTATTCACCTCACTCACATATTTGAAGGGACAGCAGAAAGAGACTGGAACTGAGAGGAGTGAGTAGTGAAGGGAGTGAATGTGGCAAATAAACTCAACAACAATGATAGAAAGAAAAAAAAACAAAAGCAAACAAACAGACGAAGACATGAGAAGAGGGAGAGGAGACACACCACGTTGAGGAAGAAGAGGCAGGAGCCGAGGATGATGGTGATGGCGATGATGTATTCCCTGGGCTTGTACTGCTTGCGCGATATGAGCGTGCCCCAGATCTGCAGTACAGCAGCATGGTTGGTAGTAGCAGCATGGTTGTAGCATGGTACAAGAAAATACAGGAGAGAGATATTTAGGATGATGGTGATGGCAATGATGTATTCCCTGGGCTTGTACTGCTTGTGCGATATGAGCGTGCCCCAGATCTGCAACACAGCAGCATGGTTAGCGTGGTTGCAGCATCATGGTTGAACCAGCATGGTACACGAGACGAGAGTAATGTTTAGGGCGGTGTGGCTTGGTGTGACGTGCTAGCATGGGAGTGGTGGTGGTGTGGCATGATGTAGTGCTGCATACATGGTTCGGTCAGTCACATCACATGGCACCTGGCTGGCTGGGTTACAGGGCTTACCAGTACGGGCACCATGCGGGATGACTTGGCTATGGTCTGCAGAGGGAAGCTCACGTACTTGAGGGCCTTTTGTGGGGTCGGGAGGAACAAGGTGGGGTTGGGAGGATTGGGGTGGAATTGGGAGGATTAAGGTGGGGTTAAGATGGGTTTGGGGTGAGTGTCCAAGAAGGGCGCGTGGGTGGGAGGGAAGACAGGGACAATATTGGCGAAATTCTCAATCAAAGGGGAAGGGGAAAAAGGTGAATGAAGTTTTTTCTTGCATGCGCAATAACCACATTCAACTTATGAGTCGACTCAAATTTCAGTGATCAATGCAGCAACCAATGCAGCAGCGTACCTCGTATTGGCACCTGGAGGAAGTGGCATTGGAGAGCGACACGGCGTCATTTGAGGCGACTCAAAAGGCAATACAGCAATCATTGCAGCGTGCTGCGTGCGTGCTGCGTACCTCGTATTGGCACCCAGACGAGATAACATTGGAGAGGGACACAGCGCCATAGGCGTAAATTGGAGCCACAAGAGCCAACGACGCTCCTGTCACCTGCATGCGTATGGTTGGGGATGGAACGCGATGTGGAGTTTGTGCAATGTGCGCGATGTACTGTAGATTTACCGGACGGGACTGTGTAGTGGATGATTATGATGGATGTAGCACACGGTACACTCATGAGCTCAATAGTGTACGCTGTGCAGAATGTAGTTCGTCTTGTAAGTTGGCAGGTGGGTTCATCAGAGCACTGAGATGAGCACTGACATGAGTCGGCTGCATTGCAGAGCATGATGAAATTGAGATGCTAGAGTATGATGAGTCGAATCAAAGGGCATCGGCTCACCAGGTGCACGATGGACTGCCACTGCTCACGTCATGAGTCGGTTACAGAGCACGATGAAGAGGAAGAGGTTAAAGATGCGAGCGTTAGAGAGGCAACCCAAAAGGCTCTGGCTGACTCACCAGGTGCGCAATAACTGCCACAGCACATGTCATGAGGCGGTTACAAAGCACGATGAAGAGCGAGTGCTGAAAGTACTCCGAATCCTCGTCCCTGTCACCGTAAGGGAACTTCATTATCCGCTCCTGCGTTACAAGCACGTAGCAGGTTCAAACCACCAATCTAAGCAACACAATCAAGTCGGCACAGCAGGAATTCAGAACGACTACAGGAGTCGGAGTTGGAAACGGTGGATACACACAGCGCAGCGCAACACAAATGACGCGCCAAGGCTGATCGAAAAAGTTGCGTCGTAAGGAGTCGAAACTCAGAGGTACGCAAAATCCGGCCCTTGGCACAGCGACATATCCTTGCTAGGTCGCCTTACCGAACTTTGAAGCACGTGAGGGCCATCAGTGTCGCAGCGACGCACCTGGCCAATGCCGTAGATGATGAGCGTGCCCACCACGCCGATGAAGCACCATATCAGCTTCGCCAGGTCGCCTTTCGCCGCAGCTTTTCTCCTGATCATCGAGCTCGACCTACAATCAAAAAGAAGGGGATGCGACCTGGCGAAGCTGGTAAGGCAATGCGACCAAATCAGCGCTTTCCTCCGGTTCATCGAGCTCGACCTACAATCAACGAAATTCGCGAAAGAGAAGGGTCGTTCTCGTCGTCTTTTTAGAACGCGATGGGAAGACTGCACCTTGAAGCGTCAGCGAACACTCGAATCGACGTTACTAGACCAGACTGCAAACAGCAGGTGATGAAACAAGAGTCGAAGCTACGTGGTCACGCGGAGCGACGTGCGGTCATATGACGGAGATCGCGATGACGAATAAAATGGCTTGCGGACGCATACGAGCAATAGAGTGTGCATTAAAGACCGTATTCACCTGCCATAGTCGAGCGTTCTAGAATGCGGTGCTGTCTCCTGCGTCGAAGCTGCCATGATGACGCTAAAGGCCCTAGCAGGACCCCACCACAGCCAATGGTATGTGATGTGACATCAGCAAGATTCGAAATATGGGACAGCAATACGATAGTACGGTTGATGTTGAACGAGCTATCCTGGCAAGTCGCCTTCGATGTGCTAAACGCGAGAAATTTGCCTTGAACGGGTTTCGACTGACTGATTTCCAAGACTAACCCTGTTAGGAATTAGAAACTAGTTGTTGGCAGCAGTTAGGTGGCCAGGTAAACGGAATGCATTCGCAGCCATAGTTCCTGCTTCCAATCATGGGTATTGAGTTGCTCGCTTCATCTCGCTCGGTCTGGTTACCTTGCGATTAGGACGCGGCACCTGTTTTCAATTTGCCAGGATCGATCGTGGGAGGGGATCGATGTGCCGCTTGTACAGTGAATTGGCGACATCACCAATGCCTGGTATCCGTTTTTCGCAGGACGTCGAAGATGTATAGTAAACGGGTACCCAAAATGGTGGCACCTGCAGCTTGCACGATCGATGTGCCGTGGTGCACACATCGGTCGTGCGTTTGGGTTGGCGGGAGGGCATATCGCGCCACAGGTGACAGCCGCGATCGATCGGCGTCGCCCGCGGTCGCAGGCAAAAAAATCTCGAGTCGTTGCGAATGAAATTGCTGGGCGACCAACCACGCTCTGCCCTGATTGGCTGCGCGTTGCAGTGTGTTGCTGTTGCGACGCAGCTCTAACCTGCCCGACCCTGCAATTTCGACCCTTGCACCTATAGCTCGATGTGTCTACCCCACTGCAAATTTGCAGTGTGGGCACATCGGTGTGCCGATCGATGTGCCAGGATCGATCCTTCCCAGATCCTGGCAAAACGAAAACATGTGCCGCGTCCTTAGGGAGGGATTTATGGGGGAAGCGGGAAAGGGAGGCGGGGAAGGTTGTGTGCGCCAAGGCTGACTGGGGGAGGTGGTTCTGGGGAGGTGGCACAAATTGAGAGGATACACGAACATACAAACGCATTACCCGTATACTGTATCTATTAGGAGACAAGAAGGGGTGGTTGTTCGGCGTGGAGGTGTTCTTCACTTCAGCGAATGTTAACAACGATGCCACGCGTATTAATTACGTGGTATCGCTTTTGTGAGGCCCGGCGCTTGAGTGGTGGCGACGAACCTTGGACACGGGGACCCCGACAGGTGTGACACATGCGGCAGATGAAACTTTGGACTCTGCAAATGGGAGGGCATCATCGATATTCGATGTGGCCACAATTTGCACGTGGAAATAGTGGAGTGCAGCCTTACGAGAGCGTTTCGAGCATGTATCCGCCTCGGAACACGCTCGCATGAAGCTGCGTACCTGGTCACAGTTGGCTTCTGTTCAAGACTACACGGCGTCGTTTATGGCGCTCGCGGACCAAGTGGACGACATGGAGGAGGCAGAGCGGTTGGACAAATACATTAGCGGCCACAAGTATGAAATACAGTTCGAGGTGCGCCGAAATCGCCTGACTACATCCAACGAAGCCGTCCGATTGGCCGAGAGTACAGACGCGCTGATGCAGCGGGCGAGATCGAGTTCTCAGGAGGGAAACCGGTTTCATGGACAGACCCAGCGGGCCACGATTAACGGAGTCTATGCGCAAGACCGCCCTTTTACAGGGTTGTGATTTAAGTGCAAGAAGCCGTGCCACATGTATAAGGTCAGCCCCGACAGGACGCAGGGAAAGAGGAACGACGGGAAGGAGCCGGGAAATGGGAAGAGTCAGTAACAGACGGGCCCCTTACTGACTGTGCTCTGTCGCCCGAACACCATCATCCCCACCGAGTCGTGGTTCCGATTCATGCAATCGATCGCACTCGGACGAATAACGGGGATAATCATGTGGATCACCCTGTGCTGGTTGTTGGCACGGTTGTTAAGAAAAAAATAAAAATGTTCGTCGATGGCGGGGCTAGCCATAGCCTTTTCAACCTGGCGACAGAAAAAACAATTAAAGTTGCAGCTGGACAGGTGTCTGCCCGAAATTGACGCTCGCCTCGTGGATGGGACGCCTCTGACGATTTTGAAGGAAACACGGAGGGTAGGGATTGAGTACGGCGACGATTCCGTCTTCAGCATGAAGTTCCTCATGACGACGTTGTGTGCATGCGACGTGCTCCTGGGACGCGATTGGCTGCGATGGCACAACCCTATCATCGATTGGACGACGGGGTCGTGTAGCATCAGCAAGCACGAGGGGCTGATTACTCTGCCCGCGTGGACTCCGGACTGCATCGAGTCTACATGCGTCAAAGCCATCACTATTACACGCCACGTCAACAGGGGTGCGCTGCTGTACGCCGTTCATCTGCGCGAGTTGGCAGCCGACACTGACGAAAACGACATCGACAAGTTGTGTGCAAGTGTACCACCCGAGCTGGCGTAGCTGATTCGACAATATCCCGACATTTTTCCGGACGACCTGCCACCTGGACTACCACCCGAACGACCCGAAGACCAAAGAATCACCCTCAAGCCTGGCGCGCAGCCAACTATTCGTACACAGTGGCGGTTGACTCAGCCCGAACTCGCGGAGCTTCGAAGTCAACTTGGGTCACTGTTTGAGAAGGGCTTCATCCGACTTAGTACTTCACCCTTCACCGCGCCAATCCTGTTAACTTCGAAAAAGGACGGCGGCATTCGCATGTGCATCGACTATCGCGCGCTCAACCGGGTTACCATCAAGTCTCGCTATCCCATCCCACGCACCGACGACCTCCTCGATCAACGTCGCTGCGCTCGCTACTTCTCGGAAAAAAACCTACGCGGCGGTTACCACCAGATCAGGGTCTTCGCTAACGATTGCCACAAGACCGCCTTCCGAACCCGATGCGGCAGTTACGAGTTCACCGTGATGCCTTTCGGCCTCACGAACGCGCCATCAACATTCCAACGCACCATGAACAGTATATTTCGCGACCTGCTGGACATGTTTGTTATCATCTATTTGGACGATATTCTGATTTTTAGCAGGACACGCGAGCAGCACCTCCGCGACCTCGACGCAGTGTTTAAGCGGCTACAGGAGAACCGGCTCATCAGTTAAGGCTCTAAGTGCGAGTTTTTTAAGCAAGAGTTGGGTTTATTGGGGCACGCCATCTCACGCAACTGCATCAAAATCGACCCGAAGAAAATTAAGACCATCCAGGAGTGGAAGATACCGACTAATGTCACGGAACTTCAGAGTTTTCTGGGGTTTGTGAATTATGTCCGGCGGTTTATCCCGAATATGGCGGGGATAACCGGCTCACTGACCGGCGTGCTGCACAAAAACAGGAACTTCGTGTGGGGGGAGGAGGCTGGGGAAGCTTTTCAAGAGTTGAAGCAATAACTGGTGTCCCCTCCGGTTCTTCGCATCGCCGACCCATCCAAGCCGTTCGAAGTTGTCACCGACGCCTCTGATTTCGCCATTGGTGCAGTGCTGCTCCAGGATTTTGGCAACGGCTTACAACCGATCGCCTACGAGTCACGCAAGTTGCAGGCAGCCGAGCGCAACTACCCGATTCACGACAAGGAGATGCTCGCCATCATCCATGCATTTAAACAGTGGCGCGGCTACCTGACAGGAGCTGCTACTTGACAGACGCTGCTACCTGATAGTCGCACGTCACTGTGCGAACGGACCACAAGTCGTTACAGTACCTCCTCGCGCAACCCAACCTCAACTCACGATAAATCCGGTGGCTGGATTACATGGAGTCACATTTCCACTACAAGATCACCTACAAGAAGGGGGGCGAATAATATTGCCGACGCCCTGACCGGACCGACAGTTCAATCCGCTGCTGTACTGATCACCCATTCGAACCCCACTCCTTCGGGGCTATTCACCCATGGCTACAAGACGGATCCGTTCTTCACAACAGGCAATCACCTACAGGCAACAACGCAGAAAGGGGACTATTACCTAAAAGCCGGAACGGACCGAATTCGGGTACCCGCTTACCGCCTGCTATGGAAATTGCTTATACACGAGGTCCATGACGCGATCCTCTACGGACATTTCGGATTGACAAGACGCAAAAAAATCTGCACCGTCAGTTTCAGTGGCCTGATTCTAACTCTGACGTGCAGCGTTATGTGTCTTCATGCCAGGCAATGAAATCGACAATTCAACGCTCAGCCGACCGACTGCAACCACTCGAGCCACCCGAGCGACCATGGCAACAGGTGTCAATGGATTTCGTCACGGGGCTACCAGCTGGCGCGACTGGCAATAATGCAGTACTCGTCGTCGTCGATCGCCTCACGAAAATGGCACACTTTGCACCGTGTCGTACAACAATCACAGCCGAAGAAACTGCGCGCCTCTTCATCTCGATCGTCGCTCGTCTGCACGGCATCCCGTCAACGATCATCAGCGATAGGGACCCGAAGTTTACATCAAAGTTTTGGAAAGAGACGTGGGCGCAGTATGGCACTCGGTTACAGTTCTCATCGGCCTACTACCCGCAAACCGACGGCCAGACCGAGCGGGCCAATCAGATGATGGAGCAGCTCATCCGAACAAACTGCCCCGACCCCGCTCGATGGGAAAATTCTCTCCCAATGTTGAAATTTGCGTACAACAACGTCCCGTCCAGCACGACCAACCATTCCCAGTTTTCCTCAATTACGAGATGGATCCAGTAGTACCCACAGCGACGACCCTTGAGAACCCGGTACCATGCTCGCAACACTTTGTGACGGAACTCCAGACAATCCGCGAAAAAGCTGTTGAAACCATCCGAAAAGCTAATGCAACTGCTCGCAAATACTCGGATTTGCTACGCCGGGAAATCACCATGGCAGCAGGGCAACTAGTGCTTCTGGACACCAAGAACCTTCGCCTGCCCGGCTCTTCCAAGCTTCGCCCGCGGTACTGCGGACCTTTCCACATTCTGAAAATGATCACACCCATCACGGCGAAACTTCTGCTGCCCGACGACTAGCATATACACGATGCCTTCCACATCAACCTCCTTAAACCCTTCGTAC